CTCGGTGTTCTTCTAACTTTTCACAGCCATATTCGCAACGAGGGTCACTTTTGCCCTCGTTCTATGCCGTCACGAGTTATGAGACGCAGCAATAGGCATGAGACGTGCGTTGAAAGTGACTTCAACCCATCCATCTAGAACGAAGAAGTGAGAGTAGTCTCTATACCGAAAGAGATATAATACCTACGTGATTCAGCGCAGGAGAGAGCGGCCGTCGAGTGCTCACACCATTCCTATGTCGTGACATATGCAAAGAGATGTCGTACGAGCGGTAATTATTCTACCCCCCTTCACATCCACTAGAAACTGTCAGACTGCCCCAGCACATTCGCTACGGTAATTGTTTCACCTCGAGCGACCTGACTTATGCTTAACCAGAGGTATGAGTAAGGTCAGCAAGGGTATCCTTATACAAGGGGATCGTACACTCATTATATAGATATGGGGTTTCTTTCCATAGCCATTCATTCGTCATACTCATGAATATACACACAATGACCCCTGCCTGTCTAACTCCTGCTCGATAGAAACATTGACCGTATCTCAATGATTCAATCACCACAGTCCCGTTACGCATTATTGAGATGCGCGAAATTGGCTGCCGTATTTTCGGATTGTACACAGCAAACAAAGTAGCGAGGGAACACGCATAGAAATAATCACGCGTGAGAAATGGAATAACCCAGGCTGCGTTCGCCACGAGCATCTGATCCTCAATATCGGATGTCATATAACCATATATCAATTTCTGTCAGTCTATTCCTAAATGCAAAAGAGCAATTCCTAGATTCCAGGTTTCATCCTAGCTACCAAGGGACAGATGCCACCGGCCATCGTCCTGGAGTTCAAGCCCTTCGAACACTGTATGCCTCATGCCTTCCATACGATTGTCCGTCTTGTAAAACTCCTGAATGGCTCCAAGAATGCCGAAAAGACTCCTTCCTCGCACATTGATTTCAACCAGCTCATCACCAACAGGCAGTTCGTCATACCAGTGCTCGATATCCAAAATCGCGGTCAGAGAACCCCACGATATGGTCTGGTCGACTAGGAAGGTTTCCCCGTCATCTCCGGTGCCCTCGCTGGAGGAGGCGTTGCCACTAATGATAACATCTCTCAGTGGCAGGTCGATTTCCCAGCCAATCCTATCCAAGATGGTAATATCCCTCGAGAAGTCATATGGCCTACTG